CGCAAAGACTGTGATTCTTCTTTCACTGGTTCTCTACCTCACCGCCTTTCCTTATTTCGTAATGAGTCAAATAGAATTTTTTGTAAGATTGGGCTACTTTGGTAAAAGTCAAACAGCAGCCGCATTGTTTCACCTCCGCAATTGCTACGTACCAATTGCTATCCTGAATTTTGGAGCTAACCCAATTCTATATTCCCTACGTCTACCCGACTACAGGCAAACGTTGCTCGCTATCGTTGGTAAAAAGCAACCTCGTTCCCAGGGTGTTTAGGAAAGACCCTGGTATCGGTTGGTCACGTGCCTCGTGGGGTGAGGGAAAGTATCAAATTACATGCTTCCCGTGGGATATCATGTTTAACAGTTAAAAACATAAATTTTGCGAATTATTAAGTTCAAAATACTTTCTAATTTTTGTTTATTTTATTTGCTTTGAATTTACACAAACATTCTTTCATAAAAACTAACAGTTAAGTCAAGAAACCAGGCAAATCGTTACTCGCAGTGCTTTCTCGTGTTGTTATTCAATGCTCTCTTCACACTCGAACGCGGCCGTTTTATAACGCTTTCAGTGGTCATCATTTCTACATATGTTATAATGTTTTTAAAATACGCCATTAGATTTGTCTTTTCTTGCAAACGTTCTCGTTGATATGCTTTACACTAATTTACTCGTTACTACGCCTATTATCCTATACCTGGCGTATTAGCGGCTTTCCTATTGGCTACGAGGAGGTGCGTTCAATCTCGAGCCCACTGTTAGCAAATGTAAACATTTGATACAGAGAAATGTCTGCCAGTAATTCATCTTTAAAATTTTGGACTTAGTACATAAGTCGTATTCGGTTAGTCAGGCTTTCCTTCGCCTGGTCTCTGTCAATCATGATATTTTCCCAATATATACTATAATCTATATCACAAATTTACAGTGTCAGATGCGCACAGAGCTGTCATACGAATAGACATCAATTTTCGAGTTCTCTACAGTACTTCTACTAACATTTTTAAAGTTTTGAGTGTTAAAGTTTTCATTGTTAAAGTTTTTAATTTTAAAGTTATCATCTGTTTATCTCTGGTTCATTAGTCATGATGCTCTAAAAGAGAATGCTCTCCAACATATTTGTATATTTGATAGTGTCATAGCGATACATGCATAATTTTACACCGCAAAAGCAAGGTCCTGGATATTATAGAGACGTCGGAGACGATACAGGCTGTCCATTAAAAAATAACGGTATTCTATGCCACAAAGCAAAAAATTTAAACCTCACTTGTAGTATTAAGAATATATATAAAGCAAGAAATTTAAACTTGTGTCAAAACGTAGGTGTTTGAGTGTTCATTGAAAGTATAATATATTGTCGTTTGACTTATCTTTGATGTTTGATTTTAATACCGTAGATTTTCAACAGACAGCTAGATTTTGACATATATACCATGTCCATGATCCGATGATCGTTGAGTTTCAGCAATGCCAAGGGCCAATGCATGGGCTTTGAGTTTTTAATAAGGCTTTTATAATCAACAATCTAGATACAGTTTGCGTCTTGGCGATATTTCGGAAATCAAAAGTCTCGCTATTTCGTTGCAATTCCACATCTCATCAATAAATTCTTTTGGTCCGACTATCAGAATATACTTTAATATAAACAACAACAGTTAAATAAATAACCTCATTGATCTGTCGATCTAGAGGAGTGTCCCTATATGTCGTGTGTCGTGGGTTAAAAGTCGTGTGTCGTGGGTAAAGTCGTGGGTAACGTCGTGGGTCATAAAATGTGCTAAAAACGCATTTTTTCATATTTTTATTTTTAATATTTTTTTCGTACTTTTTTCTTTTATGCGCTAGATAAATACAGGAAAATTTAACGCAACAAATCTCCAGTATCTCAATTTCTTATCTTGCTGTTATCTATAGTATAACAAGTAAATAATAATAATAATAATAATCTTTATTCATCAAAATACCAATACAGGCACATATGAAATTACATACAATAAAAGATACAAAGCGTATCTATATGTGATAGTTGTTATAAGATATAAGATTATAAAAAGTGCATTAACATTTTTTATATCATGAATGAAGAATAAATTATTTGTACCAAATAGGCGGAAAGAACTATTGATACCATATAACTCGTTTAAAAAAATATTTCGAGTTTCTGAAATTTTTTGGTTGGAGCATGATAATAAGTAGTGAAATTCATCTCCAATTTCACTCGATTGACATAAGGTACAAAACCGATCTTCGTATGGTGTTTTGGTATATCTTCCAGATTCAATCGGTAGTTTGTGCGCAAATATTCTCATTTTTGTTATTGCTTGGCGATGCTTAACATTGCATATTTCATGAAGGTATTCTTCAAATACAAAATTATTCTTAACTTGTACTAGAGTTCTTAATTACCTCCGCCAGGAGGTTATGTAATCATTACCTCCGCCAGGAGGTTATGTAATCATCTGGGTTTGTATGTGTGTGTGTGTGTATGTGTGTGTGTATGTGTGAGTATGTGTATGTGTGTGTGTATGTGTGTGTGTATGTGTGTGTGTGTGTTTGTCTGTGAGCACGATAACTCAAGAAATACCAAACATATCCGTACGAAATTTTGTGAGTGCATTTCCCATCGGCTAAGGAATAACTGATTAAAATTTGATTGAATTTGGTTAAAAATTGAATGAGAAATAACAAAAGTTTGTCTTGCTTTTCCCGGTCAATTAAATAAAACTTTATACTGAATGCGTAATTAGGACGTGCATAATATATGCACCAGCCATACAAATTCTAATAACAATAGATTACTTCAAATAATTTGCGCTAGGCGGAGGTATGCAGTCTCTGAGTGCCCTCTAGTTTACCACTGTGACGACTTTGTTCAATCTGATCTTTCCAAAAATGAGTAAAATAAGTAGATAATCTATTTTTTAGATATGTACCTACATTATGTAAACTTTCAAGTGGGAGAGAAATACCGTTTAGTGAACCCAGATCACATAGTTTTAATATATGGTTTGTAAAATTAACTTCCTGAGTATTCGCTCGAATATTAAAACTCGCTGCCTCTCCTACAAGAGTATTCATATAATTCGGATCTTTAATTCGTATCCAATACTTTGTCACTAGAGTAGAGATCTGTACTATTAGAAGGACTCTACCTAGTTCACCGTATACTGCTAGATTTGTACTTTTCGAGTGAACTCCGAGTATACGTTTAAAAAATTTCAACTGAAGTGATTCCATTTTATTCACCACACTGAAAAATCTCTTTTGGAAAAGTTCAAACGAAGAAATTTTACCCAGTAAACATACACCCCAGATTTCACAACCATATAATAAAACTGGAACCACTACCGAATAGAATAGTTTCAGTAATGTTTTAATCGGTATATTCTCTACATTTGAAAGTTTCTGCATTAGGCAATTGTAAGCTCGTAATGCCTTGTTGTATAACATTGTTGTCGCTATCTTAAAGTTACCACCACAATGAAAAGTTAATCCCAAATACGTATATTCGTTCACACAATCCAGTGGTTTGTCCCCGAAGAACCACTTGGTGGAGATAAATTGTCGTCTTTGATACTGTGTCCCGAAAATCAGAATTTTTGTTTTTTTTAGATTAACTTGTAATTTCCATTTCTTAGTATATAGTTCAAGTTTTTGAAGGCAGCATTGTAACCCAGATTCCGATTCTGACATTATCACCAAGTCGTCGGCATACAGCAAACAACTCAACTCAGTGTCTCCGAACTTCACAGGTTCACAAGTAGTATTAAATAAATTAGGTATATCGTTGATGAAGAGGTTGAACAATGTTGGACTTAGGTTACATCCTTGTTTTACTCCAACATGAGATTGAAAGAATGGTGTGACACCTTGTTCAAGCTTAACCGCTGATTTAACAGAAGAATACATGTTCAGTAAAATTGTGACAAATTTTCTGCTACATCCGTAGTTTATCAGTTTAAAAAATAAACCTTCTCGCCAGACACTATCGTATGCTTTCCTGAAATCAACAAAACATGCAAACATAGGTTTCCGCCTTAACTTATAAGAGTCTATTAATGTTTTAAGAACGAGCAGATGATCAGACGTACGAAATCCATGTCTAAAACCAATTTGGTACTTGTTCAAAATACTGTTTTCTTCTAGAAAAACATTTAAACGTGCATAAAGAATTGAAGTGAAAAATTTTCCTAAACAGCTAGAGATGCATATACCTCTGTAATTTCCAGGATCAGTTTTATTTCCCGATTTGTGTATAGGAGTAATAAGGCCTTCCGACCATATTTTTGGAAAAACTCCACTAGATAAAATCTTATTAAATAGTTTCACATAGTGAGGAGCTAAACTAATGGATGATATTTTAATAATTTCATTATTAAGTGAATCGTTTGCGCTTGCTTTGTTAGGTTTGAGTTTTCTAGAGATGTCGTGAATTTCTTTTAAAGAAATTGGTTTGTCAAGAATCTCAACACCACTGGTCGCCCAAAGGTTAATATCAGCGACTATTCGAGACTCAGTGCTAGTGCTCTCAGAGGAAAAATTAGTCTTATTTAGGTCGTGAAAATAGTTAAACCACTCAACGGGCGATATTTCGTTGGAACCACTAGTACGATTGGATTTAATTGAGTTAACAAGGTTCCAAAACGCTTTCGGATTGCTATCCGCCAGGATTTTAATTTTATCCAATATATTGCTATAAAAATTCCTCTTAAGTTTTCTAGTTAATTTCTTGTATTCTTTTTTCTTGGTGAAGAACAAGTGTCTTACAAAAGGGTTATTTGGTTGTTTAGATAATAGCTTCCCTAAGTTTCGTAGTTCTTTTTTAAGACGGTAACAGTTATTATCAAACCAATTCTGCTTTGGAATTGAATTCGTTCCCACCTTATTGGAATTCTTCTTCAATTTTTTGAAAGATATTAAACTCGTAGCTGCTTTGTTAATAGTATCTGTAAAATGGTTAGCTAGGGAGTTGATGGTTATCTCATTATCGTTTGAATGAATAAAAATCTTATCCATTTGGTCGTTCATTTTACCATTATTAAAGATATTATACAATTCTCCCCTCAAACCATCATTCCATTTGAAGGCTAAAGGGTGTGGTGTTAATGCTATATTAGAATCACAAAGCACTAAATCCGAAATAGTGGCCTTTATAGCAAAGGACAAGAAACAGTGGTGCGAAAATTCTGTGAGGGGTGAGACAGAAAAATGACTTAAGGAAGAAAAAAGGCTCTGAGCAACAATAGTATAATCTACAACACTTGATCCATTATAAGTGTGACATGTGAAATGTCCAACAAAATCGCCCTTAGTCCTCCCATTTAAAGTAATCAGGGAATTCTCACAACATAATTCGACCAGAGTTCTCCCATATACATTGGTGTTACAGTCTTGAGAATTCCGATAATCAAC